GTGCGCGGCAAGGCGGGAGCAGCCGTGGCTGCGCGCTCCCCCCTTGTTCTGCTGTCGGTTTACGGACGGGGCCGGTCTCGGGTGTGCAGCGTGGCGCCCCAGACACCCCGGCCCCTGGTTTGGGGAAGTTTGCGTGTCCGACACGGCGGAGTCGGGCTGATGGCGCGCGGCTCGGGGTCCCGTGAACAAGGTCGCTGTGGTCCCCTTGCGGCCCCTTTCGGCCCCGACTGGCCCGAAACACCGGGGGAGCCTCCGTGCAAGGGGCGGTTGCGATGTTCCGCTTTAGTCGTTTCAGAAAATACGGATTTGGCTCTGGTTCCGGCGGGCTCACCAGGTGTGTGTGCGCGTGTAAATACGTTTTAATCTTTGATTTGGTTCATGGTTCGGTGACACACTTAATATGTTTTCACCCATCATCAAATTAGCGCAGATGGAAGACATCGTTCCACCGGCCCCCGCGCAGGGTAGGAGATGGGCGGTCGCCTTTCCGGCCGCTGGGACGCGGCAATTGGTACCTTTCTGGAAAGCAACTTGACGTTATCTGTCAGACGCCTTGGAAATGTTTCAGACCCTCCAACCCAGCAATTTCCACTTCCAGGGATTTATCTTGAGGATATATAATCAGATGTGCACAAAGACGAGCGTGCAGCTATGTCTTCTGCAGCATTATTCAGATCGTGGAAAACATCAGGAGTCGCCTAAGTGTCCAACAATAGAGAAGGGGTTAGCTAAAATGCGATGGAAGCTATTTTTTTTAATGTCTTGAATAACAAGAGAAAATGTGTATGATTCGTTCCCAGTAGAAGGAGAAAGATTTTAGTTGAAGCCACAACAGACTTCCGAGAAGAATGGATCTTGTTAAAGGATGTTCTGTTGGCAAGTCTGCCCATCATTTGTACGGCTTTAGAAGTGGCGCCTTTCGTGCAACTGTGAGTCTGGATGATTTGGGGTATAGATTTATTCTTTAAGCAAATACTTGAGTGACTGCTCGGTGACAGGAACTGGGCATACAGTGGTGAGGAAAACAGCACACAGAGAACACAGCCTGATGGAGAAGACATTTAGTGAAATCACAACACTGGAACACTGTTAATGGCACTACTATGAGCACTTTATAATAATCAGCTAATAATAAAATTAGTTATTTAATGCAAGAGCCCTGAAAGGTTGGTATCACACTGAGCCCCACTGTGTTGGTTTTCATGGCAACAAAGCGCCACACGGCCCGTTAGCTGAAACCGCCCATCTCGCTGGCCCGCAGAGCTGTCAGGCCTGGGTTCGGCCCATGGTTCTGCTGGCCTCGCCAGTGGCCTCGTTTGTGCTTATGCTCACAGGCAGTTGGTGGAGCCCGCGCCTGCCGGGTGTGCATCTCTCCCTGGGCCCGCAGGCCTGTCCCCTCACTCCAGCAGGAAGCCGGCTCACTTCTCGCATGGCTGCTCCAGGTTCCCAAGAGCACAGTGCTGGACACGGCCAGTCCTGAAGAAGTTTCAGGCTCGAAACTGGAACCGCCTCACACCCTCTGTGTTCTCTTGGTGAAACCGAGTCATAGGGCAGCTCAGATATTAGAGGAGAGGATTACACCAGCAGACATTCGTTGACAACCTGTTTTACAGACAAGGAAACTAAGAGGGAAAAAGGTTAAGTCACTTGTCTAAGAGCTGAAGTTTGAAACAGGAAATGTGGCTCCAGAGTCCAGGCTGTCAACCGCTGCATCGTAAAATAAACACAGGTTCTGACGAAGGTAACACCAGCGGAGTGCAGGGCTGTGAGAGCCACACAGAGACAGCCTTGTCTGCATGTGGGCGGGGGTCAGAGACATAGATGTAACCCTGAAACCTGATGTTTGAATGGGCTTTCAGAGCTCAGGGAGCTGTGCAAAGGCCCTGTGGTGGCAGAAAGCCCAGCTTGGCAGAGGAACTTAGTGAGGCCAGGACCAGGGTGGGGATGATGGGAGCAGGGGAGTTCCTCAGGGCTTGGGTGTGCCTTGGAAGGTTTTGGTTTTTATTTTCTAATTTTGAAAAAATGTATAGAGAGATCCCTTGTACCTGTCACCCAGCTTCTTCCAATGGTTATAGCTTATATAACTGTAGCATAATATCAAAACCAGGCCAGTGACGTGGATACAGTGTGTGTGAGTGTGTGTGTGTATTTCTGAGTCACTGCATTGTGTGTGTAGAGTCCCTCCCGTAACCACTGCCCATCAAGATACGGGGCGTCTCTGTCCCCACAGAGAGCTCCCTCCAGCCACCCCGACAGACCCCCACCCCACTGCCACGCCCCCCCCGGGCACCCCGACTCTTCTCTGTCCCTGTCACCATGGGAATGTTCTGCAGATACAACCGTGCCGCCTGGAGCCCTGGAGCTGCTGCTCCCACTCAGCACAGCGCGCTGGAGAGATGTCTGAGCCTCAGGCGTGTATCAGGCCTGTTCCTTTCTGTTACTGGCAGTGTTCCAGGCAGTGCACGTGCCCGATAACCCCCTGATTTCCCTGTCTCAGGGAGACTCCCCGGGGTCACTGCCTTTTCCCTGTGGCCAGAGTGGTAAAGCAGGTGCAGCCTGTGGGGAGCAGTGCCCCACGGTGGGGTCCCAAACAGCTCAGTGAGTGACGCAGGGGACAGTGGGGCTGCCCAATGGACTGTGCCAGGAAGCCCTGCGTAGCCCTGAGCAACGTTTTTCTTACCCAGGACCCTTACCCATAACATGTAAAATAGAGGGGAGGCTGGCACTGTGTACTAAATCGCTCCTGCCTAGACCTCAGGTGCGAGCAGCCAGCGGCCACACCTCTGGCTGTCATGCCACTGGCCTGCCGGCCATTCCCCACCCAGCGTCCCACATGCTGTCAG